CATGGCGTGTATCCACGGGCGTCCTATGATGACGTTGTACGCCGTTTCTTGGTTCATCACGTGGAAAGTTGTTTCCAGCGTGACTCCTCCCGCTAAGACGGGTAGTGCTATTTCTCCGAACGTCCGTTCCACTGCATTGTTAAAACCGGTTAGTGTTATGCAGCGCGGTATTACCCTATCCTCGAGTCCCATTTGTACGAGGACCCTTGGGTGGATAAAGTGATAACTAAAGCATCATAATGAGGGAAAGACAAACCGTCGGCATCAGACTTATCGAAGGTGATACTATCTTCGAAGTCGTCATACCGTTCATGGGCGATGGTCCGCTTTAGTCTGTGTCTGGTGGCGGACTTGACGTGATTGATCACTGACTCGTCGCCGCCTCCGACGATCATGTTTATCGTGCGCGCTGGGGAAGGCGGCTTCGGCGGCCCGTGGGGTTGTTCTCGTCCGCGTGCAAAGTTGATTTTCCCTTTGTCACTGAGTAATTCCCTCAGGTATCCCTGGTTCAGCACCTGACCACCTCTTGCCGTAGGCCTATGCAGTCTTCGGTTTTGTGTCCCCGTTCCTGATGGAACTCACATAGGGCGTTTGATTTCCTTGTGGCAGGGTCTGCTTTTCATCTTCTGCGGCCACTACACCTTGGTGCCCAGATTCTCTAGTGCGTACACTATTTCTAAAGGAGATACACAAAAGTTATGGGCGGTTAATAAAGGGGGCGTACCTCTTTCGTTTCGGAGTGGGGCGACGTGTCGCTGTAGCACGTCTGTATGCCTTGGTGGCGGATGGGAGGATCTGATGTATGGCTGATGTCGATCTCTGTTGGAGCGGGGGAGTTGTTCTCGTCGTCCTTCGTTCCGTCGATCTCTCCTCGTTTCTGAGAGTATCGCTGTTAGTCGTTGGGTCGGCCCATTAAGATCGTCCTCGTCCGCTCGTACCTCGGCGCAATAGGCGTTGTGGATTTCCTCCCATGTGGTAGGGGGATATTTTATGAGGCGGCTCAGCAGCTTCTTGGTTGCCTTCGAACCATCCCTGCTCAGCCCGTTCTAGAAAGCGGCGACTGCCATACCTTCCGATACATTTGGTAGACTCATCCTTACCCTGTTAAACCTTGCCAGGAAGTCCCTGAGTCCCTTTCTTGTGGTTTGCCTGGCGGCGAAGATGTCGTTGACCCTGGCCTCCGCTTTCTTCGCGCCTGCATGGGCTGTGACGAACTTATCCACCATTTCCTCGAACGTTGATATTGCCTTAGCCAGTAGCTGAGTGTACCATGTTAGGGCCCCTCCTATCAACGTCTCTCCAAACTTCTTCAGCAGTACCAACGGTACCTGTTCTTTCGATAGGTCGTTGCCTTCACAGCGGTGACGTAGTGGATCAGATGATCCTCGGGATCTGTGGTTCCGTCATATACCCTCAAGTATGGTGGCATCTTGAAGGTTTTTGGGGTGGAATGAGGGGCAGCTTCTTCAGCGTATGGTTGTTCAACGAGCCTTCCCACGTCGCGCTTTGGTAGCAATTTGGGAGCACCGGGATCTTGTCGACCCTCTCCTGATGTTCCTTCATCTGACTGCGGAGCGCCTTATTTTCATTTTCATTTCTTCCATCTTCTTTAGGATGGCTGTTAGCGTGCTATCATTGGTCTGTGTCTCGATGGGTTTGTCTTTAGCTAGTGCAACATCCGGTTCACCCACGGCAGCAGTGGTACCTACCGTTGGTGTACACCCGATGTTACTTTGTGGTGACCTTTCAACCAAGCCGCTTAGAGTGATTGTTAGCCATCTTTCCTGTAGCTCCTTGACCACTGAGGGTGCTTCTGTAGCCGCAGATGCGGAAGCTCCTTTTTCGTGCAAGATCGTCAGACCTTCGGATGGGGAAGGTGAGATCTCTGCACCCGGTGTGATGCTAGGGGTTGCATTCAGGATGCCATCGTCACTGGCCTCGTTGAGAGGGCCAAGGAGATTGGTAGTGACACTCAATATAGCTTTCGATCTTGTGTTATTTTCGGCCATTTTCTGTTTTTGTGTGGTGTAGAGAGTGGTAGTTGGTTGATCTCTAGGTGGATACTATGGTTTTGATTCTCGAAATCCCCACAGACGGCGCCAAATTGTTTGGCTCAAAAGTTAACAATATACTTTGTAAGCTAGAAAACAATCAAAAGTAAGAAAAGGGTAAATCGTAATCAAATATAATAAATCTAGAGATGCAAAGATGATATTATTGTCGTAGATCTAGTATTGCAAAGTGATAATATGAACTCAATAAGATATGTTCGTTTGAGGTAGAGATAGAGAGAGAAAGCCAGAAAATGAGAGAGTTGTATTAGATCAGAATCCCCCCTTTACAATGTGAAGGTCTCCTTTATATAATAAGAGACCTTTCTCGAAAGAATCAAAAAGTTACAAAGACAGGTAACGTCTCCCTAGTGAAGACACTGAGTCCTAAACGATGTCGCTTTTGTCCCCACGTCCGAGTCGTACCCGCTACGTTAGTCGGCGTACACTCACTGGGCGTACCCACTGGCGTAGAGATGCTGAGGGTCAAATTTGACCCTATACAATAATATACTGGAGACTGGAGCACCGGTGCTCCAAATTCCAGTATATTATGCTGGACCAGTATACTTGCTGGAACTCCAGTATATTATGCTGGAGTTCTAGTGTACTTATGCTGAAACTCCATCATATTATGCTGGAGTTCCAGCATACTTATCTTGGAACTCCAGTATAATATGCTGGAGTTTAAGTATACTTATGCTGGAACTCCAGCATAATATACTGCCGTATTTTTCTGGGTTTTGAACAGTGTTTTCGCTCAGATTTTTTTTTAAATGAAAAGTGGCTAAATTTCGATTACTTTTGAAACTGGGCTATTTTTGAACGACCAGTTGTAAATCTGGCTATTTTTGAATTTTGCACGGGCCCAATAAACATATACTAAATATTACATTATAATTTTTAGGATCTTCATATAATAAATGGTCGGATTTATTATTTACTTCTTTTAGTTGTTATACATAAATATATATTAATAAAACATGATTATACATATAATATATATGGATTATATAATATGCGATTTTTTTTTTGGTCAAGAGTTCGTCTTCGAAGCATCCTAAAGTTAGTCTTAAATCAACTAAAATAATTGAAAAGAAAAAAATATACTATAATTTTTTTGGTCCCAACTATTACCTGAAAAACAATTGCAAAAGGAGCTTGCTTGATGTTCATATTGTGCTAAGTTTTGTACTAAAAATTCCTTTTTATAACACAAAAAATTTATTACCATCTTAAATACAAAATTTATTTAGAGTAATTTCAATATATTTTCAAGATAAATATTTCTTTTCATAGCATAAAAGATTTGGCGACATCTTTATGTAAGGAATTAATTCTGAGATTTTTGTCAAACTCTTATTATGTTTTCTATTCCCATATTTTAGAATTAGATTATGATTCTAATGTAAAAAATTTCAATCCCCTTTCAGGTAAAAGATATGTACTCTCCAAGAACAAGACTCAATCACATAAGTTTACAAAGTTAGAAATACTTTTACTTTTACAAGTTTTATTGAATAATTCACTCTAACTATTTGGTTCTCCAATTGTCCTTCTAACAATTAACACAAGTTATTTAACAAACATTTTCATTCCCAATGATTGAAAAGAAGAATGGTCATATACAATTGCATTTATAGTTCTTCATTTGTGAATTAGTAGAATTTATTTGCAACTTATTCTTCTTCTAGGTAAGTGAAAAATATAGTGATAGTATATAATCCTTCGTTGAATCCTTCTTCTATCATATAATAATTAACACAATTTTGTCAGGACCCCTTATCTTGTTTTTCTTTGTTACCTAAGATTGACTCTATTACTCTAACCAAAATTCTTTACCCAATTTTTTTTTATATTATTTTTGTAAGAATTTACAGTTGAGTATGCTAAAGTTACATCGATTTTAATTTATAATGATGGAAATAAAAGATTTAATTTAATTTACAAAATGAGCTTATTTTGTTTACCCAAAAAAGGGACCTACTATTATTTATTTATAACATTTTGCAAACAAATATGCTAAAGTTGGAAAATTTTAATTTACAATGAAGAAAAGAATGATCAATATAAAGTTCAAGTTGAAGAAGCCACAAGATAAAGCTGGACACACGTGAATTTGTGAGCATGTCACTTTCATGTGACATCAGCAGCATATATCTTTTTGGGCAATTGAAGGCTGTATTATTCATTGGATTTACACAAATGTACAAGTGTATTTATGGTTAAAAAATGCAAAAGTAGGGGCTAAATGAGACCTTAAAAAAGTACCGCAACTCATGCCAATTAACTATATACGGATGCTATGGGATTTAGAGGAAATAATGCTGATTTTTTCAGTCAACACATAAAAAATTCAAGTTGATGAAGCAGACGGTGCAATATAGCTGAGCAAGGAAAACCAATAATTCTAAAAATACCCCTCTGCCAGACAGATATATTGATCGTGAGCTGCCTGGTTATTCTCACTTATATTATAGGAAGAGAAGTTGTCAAAAACGAGTTTTAAGAGCCCGTTTGGACATAAATTTTTTTTCCAAAAGTTTTTTCTTCTTTTCGAAATACATTTGTTCATAAAATTTTCAATTTTCATTTGAAGGTGATTTTGGAAATTTTTGAAAATCTAAAAAACTCCAAAAAGCTGTTTTTCAAAATTTTCATTCAAATCACTCACAAAACTTCAAAAAACACCCAAACTGAAATTTATATTCAAACATAACTCTAAATTTCAAATATCATGAAAAAAAGATTTCACTATTTTTTAGAATTTCACAATTCTTATGTCCAAACGCCTACTTATATAAAATATTTCTCAAACTGCAGTATTTATATATTTTACCAATATTTCCGATACGTCCGTATTTACCGAATCCAAACACTAATTTTTCCATTTCTTTTTTAAAATGTTTATTATTCGAAACAGACATAGGTATCATCGTTTCCACGCAATTCATCATTCAACGACTTCTTCAAATAGAGCCATTTTGCTAACGCTTTCTCCTCTTACCAAACAACCCCCCCACCCCCACACACACCAATAAGTGCGTACATAAATTCGAATATCCTTCGCCTCTCTCATCTTCCTTTTCTCGATTTGCTCTTATATATATTTAAGTATTTTCTCTGTGTGTGATTGCATTGTGGATCGGAGATTGATCAAATTGTTGTGAACAGAAGGCTGAATAAGAATGGGGAGTTTGAGGGCGATTTTGAAGAATCCAGATGATTTGTATCCATTGATAAAGCTTAAACTAGCGGCTCGACACGCGGAGAAACAGATCCCGCCGTCTCCACATTGGGGCTTCTGTTACTCAATGCTTCATAAGGTTTCTCGTAGCTTTGCTCTCGTCATTCAACAACTTCCCGTCGAGCTTCGTGATGCCGTATGTTTCTTCTCTTCTTTTTCTGTGGCATTTAATCGCTAGCGCTTGCTATTTGGATGCATTTAAAGCGTGTGGTAACCTCTGTGTGTTTGTGTGTGTGTGTTTATATACATGAAAATTGGATTTTTGTTTAGTTTTTTTTTTTTTTAAAAATTTCCTGCTTCTGTGAATTGATTGGAATTGTTAATATACTATATATATTTCGTTGATTTGTTTTAATGTTCTGGATTCGCATATTACTATGACTGATATTTTGATTTTTGAAGGTTGACTTTTATTATTCTTATTTTTAACTTTAATTGAACTTTCCAGGTGTGCATTTTCTATTTGGTTCTTCGAGCACTTGACACTGTTGGTAAGCTCAGTTTACTATCTATCTAAATTTTGTTTAGTAATTATAAGGAGATATGGACCTTAGAAAACAGATGATTGTTCGCAGTGGCGGATCTATGTGACAATTGTGGGTGCTCAAGCACCCATTACCCCTAACTAGAATTAGTAAATTTGCTTAGATAAGTAAAAAAAATATTCAGATAAATATTGAGCGAGCACCCATAATTAAACTCTTTTTTGCTCTTCTTTCGGAATTTTTTCGACTAGCACCCATGACTTTAAATTCCTGGATCCGCCACTGATTGTTCGTAGTATTAGGCTATTAGCTAACATGATAAACTAGCATTTAAGTATAGTCAGAGGGTAAATTTATTTAGTGATTAGTGAAAACATCAACTGCTCATTAATTAAAAAAGATAATAAAAAAGAGCAAGTTATTCTACCCATGCTAATTATCCAACTAGTTGATATTTCGTTTAGATAATTCTGAGCTGCCTACCAGCTTTCTGTGGAACTCTTCTTGGTTATAAACAAGCTTTGACTAACTTATATTGCTGAAATACTAGTATGAGTTATCATATGTTGTTTTCTATTTCATTCTAGACATTCATAAGGTAGTTTTTACCTTGTAATATTAGTTGATTCACGGGTTGCTGCAGTCATATTTTTGAGTAACACTTATTTTGCTCTTTTTCATATCTGGATGTTCTTATTCTGGACAGAGGATGATACCAGCATTCCCACCGATGTTAAAGTACCTATTCTGATCTCTTTTCATCAGCATGTTTATGATCGCGAATGGCATTTTTCATGTAAGTCTCTGAGTTCAACTTGTCGATCTCCCTAAATTCTCAATATCCTTTTTCTCTTATAATGATTGTGCTTTTGCAATTGAAGAATCCCAAATTGGAAAGACTTCAACTACTTTTGGAGGGTCACTATTAAACTTTTTTTTTAATAAGTTGGTTAAAAACCAATGCAATGTTTCACTGTCTACCCAAAAATGTTTCTCTTTTGGCTCTGCAGTCAAACTACTACTAGAGGCTGCACACATGCAGAAAGCTGCTAATGATCCAAGATATGGACCATATTTGATAGTTGAAAGCACATAATGCATCAGAATAGTGCCTGACGGAGGTCATATAGGAAAATGGACAAGAAGGGAAAGTAACTGTGGCATCTTTGCTTTTGTTTGATTACTTGCTAAATACTCTGCCACTGGTAGTTGCCTAACGGAAAAAATCAAGAGCCCATTATAACCTCATCTTTTACTATTATTGTAATCAGTGTGAGAGAGGTTAGCTAATTGTTAAGCTCATAGCGAATACACATCTATATTACCTCCAGCCATGGTGTTTAACCTCTTCCTGCATGATTCCCATTTCTCAAAAACACCTTCAATCATCTACTGACAATACATTCTACTTTATCTTGAAGACCACATAAATCAATGCCCATTCCTGTGACGCATATTCGCAATGAAGTAGCATGTGGTTGATGCCCTCCCCCGTCTTATTGCACATACTACACCAGCTGACCATAACGTACTTCCTTCTTCTCAGGTTGGCCAAATTGGCCCCCACGCCCCTGTACCATGCAGAGACACTGCTGACATTAGGCATACAACACCAAACAAGTCATAATACTTGAAACCCTGTTACCTCATTGAGAAAAATCCATACTTTAGGTTTAAAAAAAACTTGTGACCCTATCATTGCTCGCTCATCATCTGTATGCCGATGATAGCATTCTAGTGATTACATTGCTAGCTATACACCTGCATGCTCATGTATGAACATGAAGGAGGATCCTTCCCACCCAAAGGGCTGGGCAACACTAAAATATTGACCTGAATAAGACAATGTATACTAGTTCTAGGCATTTTGGTGGGTCCTGTAGTCCAACTTTTCACATGCTCTGGGTAAATAGCTTATCTTGATTTTATTTCTTTCAATGTATAAATAGTTGGATGACAGATAGGAGAATTGAGCTTCGAAAACTATGTTCTAACCCTGGAACTATTTCTGCATTACTAGTGGTTGCAATGGACTCTTTTGTTAATTTGCTACTCAAAATGTCATGACATGTTGGCCAAAGAGGTCAACCTGACTCAACGATTGGATGCTAAGGGGAAGGGAGCAAGTTAGAACTTAGAAATCTTCTGAAATTTGTTATACTTCTTTTTACTGCAGTTTCTTACCCTAAATAAAGGCTTTTCTTTTCTTCTATGTGTCTTGCTCCCACGGTGCCATGCGCGTTGCCCTCCCTACAAATATATTCTGTCTAGGGTGTTGTCTACTAATGGGGAATAGGATTAGACTTGTTAGAGAACTTCTAATATTATTATTACTATCATTTATATATATTTCACTTGTTTTTCACTTGTTTTTTATTCGGTATGATGATGACATGAGTTGAACTTAATGGAGAAGTGAGGATTCATTTAGCCACCCCAACTTGTTTGGGACTGCGTTGTAGTTATTGCTGTTTTATTATAGAGTGAATTCCTAATCCCAATTTTTTAACATGTTAGGTGGTACAAAGGAGTACAAGGTTCTCATGGACCAGTTCCATCATGTTTCAACTGCTTTTCTGGAGCTTAGGAAACAGTGAGTTCTTACCCAGCTTGTGTGCTTTTCTGATACTAAGATTTTGCTCAATTGAGAGGTTACAATCAGCATATTTGTTGAATATGATGTAGCAGTAGGTCCTCTAGAATTTAAATTCTGTTGCAAGATTTGGAGAAATCCAAATTCAACTGTAGATCCACGTGATATGTCCCTAATGTGAATTCAGAAATGTTTGCTTCTGAGCGGTGCAGCTTTCTCTGCCTTCTTAAACCCTAAAAAATCAGAAAAAAAGAAATGCTACTTATACGACAAAAAATGTGAACTGGGGTTGTAGTCTGAATTTCAAAATGTACAAACTCTGGGTCCCATTGTATGAGTAGGCTATAATGAAGATTATGTTCTTATATTTTGCAGTTATCAGCAGGCAATTGAGGATATTACCATGAGAATGGGTGCAGGAATGGCAAAATTCATATGCAAGGAGGTATGTAAGATAAACCATAAAGAACAGGATCAAATTATCTGATACTCACAAAAAGCAGTTTATACTTGTTTGCATTTTTTGTTTGTATGAATTGGCTCGATCTCTCAAGTTTTCCCTTTTTATGCAATTCCTCATCTTCAAGCCATTGGATTAATCCACCTACTCAAAAGTATAAACCATGGTCTCTGCTTCACTACATCGTGATTGATGTGGTATTACTAGTATTTCTGCTATTTGAGATTTGGTATCTTTTTCACCTGTATTTTGTTGAACATGTTTTGCACCAGTGTTGTTAGCCCGTACGGATATTGTCGTCTTTGTTGAATTATCATCTCTGTCTTTGTTTGTTAAGTAAGACAAGGCTATTAACACTATAGAAGACAAGTACATGGAATTTGGTTAATGAGCGCTAAAATCTTGTTAGGTTTTTGAAAGGTAACTTTAACCTTTAAGCGCGCCCGATGTGTAGCTACTTTACGATTTAATAGTTTTTTGCTGCAAGCTTCATTTCTAGAATGCTCCTTCAACCTCCATGTATTTTAATTTCAACAAATCTACCTCTGCAGGTGGAAACAACCGATGATTATGACGAATATTGTCACTATGTAGCTGGGCTTGTTGGGCTAGGATTGTCAAAACTGTTCCATGCCTCTGGGAAAGAAGATCTGGCTTCAGATTCTCTCTCCAACTCCATGGGTTTATTTCTTCAGGTTTAAACCTTTACATGTGTGGCAGGCACAACTGTCCATCTTTGAGATTCTTCTTTCTTGAGGGCAGTAATACTAACATATTTGCTATATATGGCAGAAAACAAACATCATTAGAGATTATTTGGAGGACATAAATGAAGTGCCCAAGTGCCGTATGTTCTGGCCCCGTGAAATATGGAGTAAATATGTTAACAAGCTTGAGGTTTGAACTCTTCATCTCCTTGGTCTTGTACGAGTTTCTCAACTCGTTTTTTCCCTGCCGTCATAGTTATTGAATGAACTTGAGTGGACTGTAGCAAGTGCAGTTGTTTAGTCAAAGCTCAGAGATGGGTTTCATTCATAGGTTAATTGACATCTTTGTTTATTTCCCACAGGAATTAAAGTACGAGGATAACTCGGCCAAAGCAGTGCAATGTCTCAATGACATGGTCACTAATGCTTTATCACATGTAGAAGATTGTTTGACTTACATGTCTGCTTTGCGTGATCCTTCCATCTTTCGATTCTGTGCTATTCCACAGGTATATCCTCTAGGTTATTTCTAGGCTCTCTAGCCTTTCAATTTATCTCAGGCTAAACGCTTCCTACATGAAGACATTTCTTCTGTCACACTTGACGATTCCTTTTCTAACTATTTGGAATTCTAGTTCTTGGTCTTTCCATTTATTCAATTTTTCATAAAGTGTTTCTTATGATGGAATTTTATGTTCTCTGTTTGGGTAAGTGTCGATAAAGATCGAAACAGAAAATGTATCGAATTTGCTGAAGTAAACTCTATGTCGAATCATTTAATTTCAATCTAGTTATAGATCAAGGATCTTCGTATTGTCTTATTGCCATGATTTCTATTCATGCTTGTTTAATTGACCATAGAGTTAAGTGTGGTGAATGACTAATAGTCTACAATTTTTTAAACATGGACTTGTAGGCTGGGGAAGGAAGAAATTTGCATTACAGTATTTGTTCAGTTATTTACCTTTTACAGCATCCAGAAGCATTGTTGCACCAGTATTTGTTCATGGACTTGTAGGCTGGGGAAGGAAGAAATTTGCATTACAGTATTTGTTTCAGTTATTTACCTTTTACAGCATCCAGAAGCATTGTTGCACCAGTAACTTGCTAAGCATACTTCTTTACCATGCTTTTGCCTTGTTGTATTATCTAATGGTACCAGGTCATGGCAATTGGGACATTAGCTATGTGCTACGACAACATTGAAGTCTTCAGAGGAGTGGTAAAAATGAGACGTGGTAAGAACTATGATTCTCGACATGCATTTCCTGTGACTTCATATCCAATTGCAATCTGACACCGTAAAATTCGGCCAATTTGTTTATAAATCGCATCTTTTGTCAATAGGACTTGTTATTATGATGGGGTAGAGAGAGATTTTGTGTACTTGCGGAATAGCCTCTCATTCCTTATTTATTTTTGGTGCACCCACGATGTTTTTATATGTATAGAAGGTCAGGTGTTGTTCGTAGAAAACCACATCGTTTTGTAAGGTTTTCCATTGTATACGGGTGTTTTTTGCCTTCATTAATAAAATCTTATTACCCTATAAAAAGGACTTATTATTATCATGTAATGGAGTGGGCTTTATCGTTAACACTGTCTTATTGTATATTCTACCTTTCTTGTCTTTGTATCATTTCTTTGAGAACTCTCTCCCAGCATGTATTATTCATGCATCTATATGTTCTACTGCATTTGCTGATGGAACTTATTTAAAGTAGATATTCTGTTCTTGAGTATTATTCTAGCAGTTTTTAAGCATCACATTATATCCTTGTCGTCTTAATTTTATACTATACCTGTCATTATTATTAACTTTTGGTTTCTTCTTTCTAGGTCTGACTGCTAAGGTCATTGACCGGACCAGGACTATTGCAGATGTATATGGTGCTTTTTTTGACTTTTCTTGTATGCTGAAATCCAAGGTATGGAACTTATTTATTCTCAATCATGCCTAATTGCCCAGTTATAATGTGCTCGTGTTGAAGTTGCTGGGTCAAATTGAGGATTACCCAGTCCTTTTTGTTTAACGTTAACAATGCATGTGTTGTCTTGGAATAAGTATATGCGCACTTTTGTGGCTCATTTGGTCAATATGGACCTTGCATTACGGTACGAGAAACCTTGTGCATACAAGTTGTGATGGGGTTTCTGAATCATGTTCCTACTACAGATGCCTGTCTTTTCTTCCAGAAATACTGAATAATTGTTTGCAAAATAGTTATCCAGGAGTCTCTCTCACACATATGTACAAAGGTGTAGTACAAAAATAGAACAAATTAGTAAACATATCTATGCGTAACATGTTCCTATTACAATACTGATACCTCTTAGCCTTTGAATTGATACATCTAACGATTATTTGAACCGACGATACATAATTTGGCAAAGCTTTTGCTTAACGGCTAATAATATGGGTTATGCACTCTGTCTGCTATCTGTTTCTTTTTGTTCCTTTTTTATGTCAAAATTTCCTTTCTTGATGAACAGACATGCCACCAAAACTGCTCTTTTATTGTTTTAGGTTAATAATGATGATCCAAATGCAACAAAAACTCTGAAGAGGCTTGAAGCGATCCTGAAAACTTGCAGAGATTCGGGAACCTTGAACAAAAGGTTTGTACATATCCTAGTTGTTCTCATCTTCACATTGCTGTGAGTATCAACTAATGCATGTACCTATCACCAGGAAATCATACATAATCAGGAGCGAGCCTAATTATAGTCCTGTTCTGGTAAGTGTATACAGCTGATTGTTTCACGCTTTAGATACAATTTGCCTTTCTGCATTTAATATTTTCTCATCTCTGAAATTTATTGCAGATTGTTGTCATTTTCATCATACTGGCTATTGTTCTTGCACAGCTATCTGGAAACCGATCTTAGACGATATGTAATTTTCATAATGACGATGTACTTGAGTGGCATGCCAATTATATAGATGCATGTCTCATGGTTCAAAAATATACCCTCTATGCACCTAAGCTTTCGCCTTCTATTGATAAGCACGTGGATCATTGTAGGAAGTATGTTTTTTCCTAGCCTTCAAACAATAAGCAGGGTTATTTTTTCAAATCATGATATTTCTCTCTCTCTCTCTCTCTCTCTCTCTCTCTCTCTCTCTCTCTCTGTGTTACCTGCTATGTTAGACTGTATTGTATGTTTTTTTTTAATGAATATGAACACATCCTCCTCACTTCCCAAAAAACACAAATTTTTCTTCCTCACCTTGAATGTGATTTACAAGTGATTGTCTTTAGATTGTCATTCCTGTGTCATCACAAATTTCCAAGTCTAAGTGAAAAGTTTCCCTTAACAAATCATTGTGGACTTCAATAGAATTGTAAGGTCATATTTCCCTAATGTTCAAATCTATATCAAGAACAACAGCAACAACAACAAACCTAGTGATATCCCACAGGTGGAGTCAGGAGTATGTCAAGAACAACAATAACATCAAAATTGCCTCAGTTCCAAGTTGTATGAATCCTCACCGTCCATTTAACTCCGTTTGGACTTTGGACCCATTACATTCCCAACGAAATTCCTTATTGATTAGTTTCGCTCTACCTGTCAGCTTACATTCCCAACGAAATTCCTTATTGATTAGTTTCACGCTAGCTGTCAGCTTACCGCAACTATCCTCCTTTATTCGAGCTTGGAATTCACAATATGAACAGGTTCACGAAGGAGGAGTTGCACTGTCAATTATGTCGAAACACTAAAATTGGAAGATCATATTAAATTAGGATCGTACTTACTTCAACAGTGTCATTAATGATGATTTAATAGGTTTGTTTCCTAGATTTAAAGTTAGTGCGTTGTGTTCAAACCGATGGCATCACTTTGCAATTTTACGATAACTGTGTTAAGAAAGATACATGGAAATTGTAGCTTTTTCAGCTTCTTCGTGGAGATCATTAGCCCAGTTTATGCTCTGTCTTGCTTTGCAGTTTGGGATGGTTACAAAAAAGAAGTCTGGTCAAGGAAGACAGCAACAAGCTCTTGGCCAATTATGTGATTAGTGCAGATTTTGATGTTTGTAATTCTATGTTCATTAAGTGATAGTTGCACCTTTTGACCTGACAAGATAATTACGAAAACCTATTTTTTGTGGTTTGTTGGGTATGTACTTGTTTGCAAGCTACGTAAGCAAATTCCAAGTGTAATAAACATGTCTTTTATAATATTTTGTTCATTTTTGTGGTAAACTGACGTATTTAAATAACAGCCATTGTATTAAAATTCCATATTTCAGAAAGTGAAATGCCTTGCTCATCTCGGTGTGATCGTCAAAATGAAAATGAAAAGTGACAACCTCTTTACGCATTTATCTGAAGGTGACTAGTATGTCAAACAAAGACAACCTCTGAAATAGTTTTCCATTCCTTAAGAGCACATAAGCCCTACATATTTTATCGTTTTGTTAATAATACTGCGAAGTACTTAAACGCAGTACTGTACTGTGTTTCACTCTGAATACAGGGTTATCCCTACTATGCACGCCCTCATTATTGGGAACGTCTTTCACCTTGACGTACATTTCCAATAATTTTATTACAATAAATTCCCTGTATTCATCCGGAATCCGCAAAAAATCTCTAAGAGTTTCATCATCCTCGATGTTAAACACAGAATAATAAGCAAACTCCTGCGGAGTCACTGAATACGGAAACCTACCGGTTACTTTAAGGTTAACCGAACGCTTCCTCACACTCATTTTTTTACATAACAACGAAACCAATTTATCATACTCCATAATAAGCGGCAATTTAACATGATACCGTGGAGGTGAGCTATACCTCACAGAGTTATTCTCCAGCACAACCTCCCCCCCCCCCCCCATATAATGAAACCTTTATTTTTGGCTCTTCAGACATTGTACAAAAATGATTGATAAGAAGAAGAGAGAAGTATGAACGGAAGTTTGAAGTTTGTATTGAATGAATTTTCATAAAATTGAAACGCCTTTAAATAAGGCAAGTCCGAGCTTGGGGTGCAGAATTTTTTTAAGGAATTCGCAGTACAATACCACGTTTTATGTGTTTGAATTATTTATATGTCAGTTAATTATTGGTGGGGTCAAATTAATAAGGAAATCGCAGTACAGTAGTGCGATTAAGTAATTCGCAGTATTGTACTGCGAATTTGTTAAAAAAAAAAGTTTTTTAATAATACGCAGTACTATACTGCGAATTACTTTAACGGCTAAATCTCCGTTAAAGTAATTCGCAATATAGTATTGCATTTTACTTATTTATGTAACTTTTTTTTTTAGTAGTAAAAATGTGTTTTGTGCCCAAAAAGGCATTAGAAAAGTTTCGGACAGACCTGGCTACATTCAAAAGGACCAAAGCTTTTTCATATGTTCTTTTTAATTGTGATATTCGCTTTATTTGAGCGCAGAAAGCCTCCTAGCAGCAACTCTTTGTAGTTAGAAATGTTAATATGGAATTCTACAATGTTTTCAAAGTGTTACTATTCCTTATCTGCTGAAGGCAAAATATATTATTTGCTCGCATTCTCCGAGACCCAAAAAGGGAAAACAAGTTATAAAAATGTACTAGGATAGACATTGCTACAAAATTAATCACAACAAATTGCAACATACAACAATCACCTCCAAGTCCTTAAAAGAGGGGAAATATATAAAAATTTACCCTCGGATGGAATAACGATCAAAAAAGGAAAGGAAAAAAAGACCCCTATAAGAAGTATTTAAGGGAACAACATAGAGAATGTTACAAGAGGCAGAAACGATCGCAAGCAGCAGATGATATAAGCAGCAGAAGATACAGAAATCCGACGGCTCCTTTATAATAAAAGAAATCCCTACATTTCAGAAAACCTCGGCCACTTTGCTTGCAAGGACACGTTCCCTTCTTTCAATGTAACCGAAAGGAAACCATCCTGCTCTGCCTTTGCATTCACCTTCAGCCCAACCATTGTTAGAAACCTGAAAACACCAATGAAACACACTATTATCTATAGAGCGTTTGGATATAATCAACCATTTGAAAAGCATCCACTGGCACGGTTGATGGGTAGAATTCAAACAAAAAACAGATGTTACAGAGCAGGCAACTCCGAGATAGGATATCACTCTCAAATGCATTTTATATTTCTAGTTCTAGAAGTCTATTAACTGTAGAGATTGCAAGTGAACCAATACGCAAATATGAATTCAGATCAGTAGGAGTTAAATCACAAGCTGAGGCGATTCAGTAAAACACCTGTAACTGCTATATCACTGGAACCAAAAGCTTCCAGGATGTATTACTAAATGCATCATACCATCCTTTTGTTTAAGGCATTTCTCAAGTTCAGATGAGTAATATCAGAAAATACGACACCAACATGCGGAAGTGAATCCAGTAGAGCAAAATAAACTAAACAAACCTTGCGAATAACAACATATTCTCCAACAGATAAATTAAGCTCCACATCGGATTCAGCTTGATATGGGTACACGACCTGTTACCAACCCAGAAAGAAGGAAAGCTATTGAGCACTCATCACAGAGCTAAATCTATTCAATTTACTTGGAAGTTCAAAATACTCACTTCTCCGAGAAAGTAACCCATACTATCAGTTGATCCATTTTGTACGGGTGAAGTAGAGACACCATTTACTTCTTCATATGAGGGAGGTGGAGGCATAGTATCCACACTGGGAGCAGGAGCAGGAGCTGCTTCAATACGCTGGCGCTCTGATAACATCTGAATCATAAAAACAAATTATCCTTAGTTTCTCAAATATGGGGGAAAAATCAGTGGGAGTCCATCATATTCAGGATTTTCTAAAATAAATCACACATACCTCAGCTTCTAGCTGATCAAGAATCTGAAGGATTCTCTGATGGTATGACCGTTCTGATTCAACCTAATCACAAGAATGAAATGACAATTAAAATAATCAAATTTTACTTATGTGGTACCTTTTAAAAGCACTCTATTCCACAGCTCTAGGAGGATGGTTACCATGGCAATCAATCGTTGGAGTGTCAGTCTTTGCTGCTGAGCTTCAACAGCAGCCATAGCTGCTGAAGCTTCTTTTCCCAATGTATTCATATTTGACTTCAAGTCTTGTAGCTTTGCTTCGGCTGCTTCCAGTTTATATGCCATGTCAGGATGACCTGTTCCTTCTCTCAGTTTAGCTTGTCGTCTGGATACTTCAACAGCCTATCTAGGTTAGTCAGAAAAGAGAACTGGCATCTGGCAAGTGCAATTAACTGATCCAAAATTTTTATTATCATCAAAGCAACTTAAGACAACACCATGAACACATTATGTGAAAGAAACCACATTACTTGATTTAAAGTCTGCCTTACAATTTAAAACAGAGAAGCAACTAAATACCTGTGCTTCTGCCTCTTGTCGCATTCTATCATATCTTTGAGCTAGATGTCGAGCATCTTCCAATGGAGCTCCCATCACCATGGCCCTTAATGGTTCAGCGACCTGGAAAGGAAATATCTATAGTCAAGTAGATCGCTTGAAACAGATTGACATACCGGACATAGAACAATTGGAGTGTCCTCGCACATAATTCCTAAATGGTTAGACCAAGATGAAGTCTGTTTATGGACTTCAACTTAAGTAAATAGTCTCAGTTCTAATTAAGTAAACAGTCTCAGTTCTAAAAGAATTACATCTTCTAGAGCTCATCAAATATTCAAATCTTGGCCGAGACAAATAGAAAATAGGGAACCAAAACCATTAATTGATTGAAGCAGCATGATTTTGAAGGCCTCAATCCAACCCCTTTCTTTGAGTTGCCCAAATGAACTTCAAGTACGACCAAGGCCCCAAAATTCTGATATCTAGGTACTTGCACTACTAACAAGTTCTCTTATCACCGTGGTCAATAGCAGGAACCTACAGCATTCCGCTTGAATTAACTTACTGTGATGAGGCTTAATTTACCCAGAACAAATCTTTAACACGTCCCAGGTTCAAGGAAGACTAAAGAGATAGCACATGACAAACAGATGAACTAAATAAGACATCTCCAGCTTTGTTAGTAATGAGGAATATATTTTTTCCACTAGTCCTTTGTTCATTATCTTTGACAAAGAGTGCTTTGCATATTTTCA